TCTCTGAAATTACGACCGAATTCGAAACCTTTATTTATCAAGGCAAGAGAGGTACCTTATGCACTCAAAGAAAAAGTCGAAAAAGAACTTATCGATCTGGAAACAGAAGGAATAATAACGAAAGTAGAATCCAGCGACTGGGGATCACCGTTAGTTGTGTTGATTACAAGGTGGCTGTAAATCCCCAACTCGAATCCGCTCACTATCCAATTCCAAAAGTCGAAACAATTTTAAATAATCTCAGGAACTCAAAATATTTTTGTACGATCAACCTATATAAAGCTTACTTACATGTTTTGATGGACGAAGAAAGCAGGAAGATACAAACCATTTCTACACAAAGAGGAACGTATCTCGTAAATCGGCTGTCATTCGGTATTAAAACCGCCCCAACCGAGTTCCATCGAATCCTGGATCAAATCTTAACCGGACTGGACGGTGTTATTACATACTTCGATGACATCATAATTCATGGAAGATCAATCGAACAAACACACCAACGATTAATCAAGTGCCTCAACAAACTGGAAGAATATAATTTGCACATCAATCGTCAAAAATGTCACTTCTTTAAAGAAGAATTATCGTATCTGGGATATATTATCAGTTATAATAAAATAGCAAAATGTCCAAAAAAGATTGAAGCCATAACGAGCATGAAACGACCTACAAATCCAGAGGAAGTAAGACGATTTCTTGGTATGGTAACATACTATTCAAAATTCATGCCCAACACATCAACTATTACTTACCTGCTACGATGTCTACTCCGGAAGGGAGCAAAGTTCAGATGGACGATCGCTTGTGAAGCAGCTCTCATGAAGTTAAAAGAAGAAATCGCCAGTAGCAATGTTTTAATGCCGTTCAATCCAGACTTACCCCTCACACTTGCTTGCGATGCAAGCCCCACAGGAATCGCAGCGATTCTGTCACATATCGTCAATGGAAGAGAACGACCGATTGCGTTCGCTTTGAGATCACTAACATCAGCAGAGCAAAATTATAGTCAACTGGACAGAGAAGCGCTAGCAATAGTCTTTGCTGTCGATAAATTTTTTATGTACACCTATGGTCGGAAATTTGATCTAATAACAGATAATCGTCCGTTGACTCATATTTTTAAGCATAACACGACTCTACCACGGATAACAACAGGCCGGCTCTTAAGATATGCTACGTTTCTACAAAGTTTCGATTATGTTATTAAACATCGGAAAGCCGAGGAACACATACATGTGGACTGGTTATCAAGGGCGCCCCTAACAACGACGTCTGGGAAAATAGAATCAATTTTTAATCTAGAAGTAGAAAAGCTGCGAGACCAGTCAATTAATCAGATTTCATCTATAGCATTAAATTATCAGACACTGGCGATAGAAACGAAAAAGGATGCCGAACTCTCGAAACTAAAAAAATACATACAAACCGGAGAAATTGCAATCGAAAATGATCTAATATTTAAACGGAATAGGATTATGATCCCGAAAAGTCTTCAACCAGTTGTCTTGGAAGAATTACATCATACCCACATTGGGATAGCAAAGATGAAGCAGCTAGCTCGACGCTACGCATATTGGAAACTAATCGATCAAGACATAGAACGTCAAATCATGTAAACAATGTGCACTTGTAAAGAAGAGCCCACCGAAAACATCATTCCACACGTGGGACGAGCCTCAAGAAAATTTCGAAAGATACATATCGATTATGCCGGACCATATCAAGAATATTATTTTTTGGTGGTGGTCGATGCGAAATCAAAATGGATAGAAGTCAAACATTCAAAAAGTGCTCCGACTACCGAATCAACCATACGAATGTTGTAAGAAATTTTCGGCTTTTATGGATTACCATGAATCATGGTCTCCGACAATGCCACTATCTTTCAGAGTGAACAATTTAAAAAATTTTGTAACGAGCTCGGAATCTTCCAAAAATTTATAGCACCAGGACACCCGGCAACCAACGGGCTGGCCGAGCGAACAATCCAAACATTAAAAACAAAATTAGCTGCCATGACAAATAAAAAAACATCCATGACTACGAAAATAAATGAGATCCTATACCGATATCGAGTAACCCCGTTATCCTGTGGGAAAACACCATCCGAACGTTACCTAGGAAGGAACCTTCGACTCAAATTAGACGCACTCAAACCATTCAAAGAACAACCTACTGTTAATATAACCACAGGAATGAAGGTACGCAATTTAAGCGTGGGAGATCGTGTTCAAGCAAGATGGATTACAAACAATAAGGCAACTTGGCGATTTGGGACAATCAAAAAAAAAATTTGACAGACTACACTACCTAATTCATCTAGATAGCGGATATACACTTAAGAGACATATTGACCAGCTCCGACATTGCTATGTGAAAGATAAAGAAGAAGAGATACCAAGAAGCCAAAAATCAAAGAATACCATGAGATTTTCCGACAGCCCAGAACTTGGTTCCAATGGAACTCAAGGGAAAGTAAACAACACTCGAGATTCAGACGACAATATCTGGGTTGACGGCGAGTTTGTGCTGGTTGACTCCATACCGGATATTGGAAACAATATCAACACGCCGGATGGAACCAACGGAGCAGTTGGAGAACAGCCAGGCCGACTAGGAGAATCAAGGGTCCAACAGCAGAACATACGCAGATCGCAGAGAAGCAGGAGAGAGCCGGAGCGATTCAAAGATTATTGCCAATACTAAACTTATTCATTATTGTGTTATTTTATTTATCTCAGCAAACTTCAAATAAGCGTGGGAGAACTGTTGTGTCCATAGATGGCGTTTTCAGATCGAAGTAATGGTTTTTAGTTGTTAGTGGGTTGATAAAAGAAAGCCCGGCCATCTTGTGTTGATTTACACACACACACACACACACGCACGCACGCACGCACGCCCGCACGCACGCACGCACGCACGCACGCACGCACACACACACACACACACACACACAGGGTGTCCGAAAAGTGTGGAAACGGTCGAATATCTCGAGAAATACACATCGGATCAGAAATCGAAAAATATACGTATTCAATGTTTTCAAAAAAGCTATGTTTTGACATCTAACATGACCCCCCAACTCCACCCGCTGTGGGTGAAAGAGAGGGTAAGTTTAAAATTTTAAATAGGAACCCCCATTTTTTATTGCAGATTTCGCTTCTTCAGAAAAAGTTACATAAATTTTACTTATTACAAACATTTTTTGATGACAGATGGCGCTGTAATCAGCGAAATTAAAAAATGAGTCTAAAACGTTTAAAATATCTCAAGAAAAATTCAAAGGATCAAAAAAATAAAAATGGACGTATTCAATGTTGTCAAGAAAGCTATCCATTGACACAAAAATTCTATCCCCCACCTACCATCCGCTGGGGGTGAAAGGGTAGGTAACTTTAAAATTTTAAGTAAGAAAACCCCCATGTTTTATTGCAGATTTCGTTTCTGCAGAAAAAGTCGTATTAACCCTTTAACGCTGAGATGTGCTGAATTTCGACATGGATTTCAACCCCTAACAATTAGCAGAAAAGAACGTAGACAAGTATCGGAAGGTCCATTTGAATGTAATAAGGTATCAGAAACGTGTTCTCGATAGTTAAACTTCGAAAACGTGTACTATATACAATTTTAATTTTTCGATTTTGAGTTCATAATGGCGCCTATAAGCTCAAAATTTTTCGAAATTTTACGTACAGCGAGTAAATTTGCAAAAAATATGCCCGAATTCGATTGAAACTTGTTACTCGGGGGTTTTTGGGATCGCTGATTACGAATGTGAAGTCAGAATCCAAAAATTCAATTTGACGTACCTATAATGGCAGACCAAGTTTTCAAAATTTGAAGTAGCGTCCTTTGCCTTTGAATATTTCGTAAAATATCGAAAAATTTTGAGCTTTTAGGCGCCATTGTGAACTCAAAATCGAAAAATGAAAATTGTACACAGTACACGTTTTCGAAGTTTAAACTATCGGGAACACGTTTCTGATACCTTATTACATACAAATGGACCTTCCGATACTTGTCTACGTTCTTTTCTGCTAATTGTTGGGGGTTGAAATCCATGTCGAAATTCAGCACATCTCGGCGTTAAAGAGTTAATACGACTTTTTCTGCAGAAGCGAAATCTGCAATAAAACATGGGGGTTTTCTCATTTAAAATTTTAAAGTTACCTACCCTTTCACCCCCAGCGGATGGTAGGTGGGGGGTAGAATTTTTGTGTCAATGAATAGCTTTCTTGACAACATTGAATACGTACATTTTTATTTTTTGATCTTTTGAGTATTTCTTGAGATATTTTAAACGTTTTAGACTCATTTTTTAATTTCACTGATTACAGCGCCATCTGTCATCAAAATAATGTTTGTAGTGCGTAAAATTTGTGTAACTTTTTCTGAAAAAGCGAAATCTGCAATAAAAAATGGGGATTCCTATTTAAAATTTTAAACTTACCCTCTCTTTCACCCACAGCGGGTGGGGGTGAGGGGTCATGTTAGATGTCAAAAGATAGCTTTTTTGAAAACATTGAATACATATATTTTCAGATTTCTGATCCGATGTGTATTTCTCGAGATATTCGACTGTTTCCACACTTTTCGGACACCCTGCATATATATATTTTATCTCGTGAATAAAAAAATGGTTGTATTAAAACACTCATAATACACATGTCATAATTACCAGTACCATTCCTTATCTACCTATCAACGACGCAGCTACATGACATCGTGTAAAACAGTACAATCATATAGATTTCGTTTCGTCCCGTAAGAAGGAATACTTCGCTTTGTGTGGAAAATTGTAATCCTATACTTATTGTGAAACTTAATTTGTTTATTTTCTAAAGCAGTGCTGTGTCCTACTTTTAACTACAAAAATTGTAGAAAATTAGTTAGGACATTTTCCCCTACAACGTATCTGAAGGGCAATAAAATTGGCGAGATGTAATCTAAACTGTACATTTACTCATTTCTGTTTAACTACAGTCATGATTCAATTGCAGTACGTAATTTACGAATTGGAAGACTTTTGCAAGCGAGCGAAACCAGAGGAGAGAAATATTTTTCATCGATACATTAACAGTTGTAAATCGATTTATATAGGCTCAATATGCGCCTTCACCGTTACCGGCTTGTTGCTTATCATCAGTCCTGTAGTAGAACCTCATCCTTTTCCAATCGATATAGAGTATCCGTTTTCTGTGGATTATCAACCTTTAAAGATTATCATTTATCTACATCACATATTACTCATATATCAAAGTTATGCGCAGGTATGCTCAAATATTTTTATCGCACTTCTATTGTGGTTTGTGTCAGCGAGATGTGATATCTTATCGAATAGATTTCGAGCCGTCACAAAATTTACCGAGTTGCGAGCATGTATAGAAGAACATCAAGAGTTATTATGGTAAATTTAGAGTTAAATATAAATAATATTATAGAAACTTCCATCTTGAAAACATTTTTTGAAAATATAAAAAATTTCTATTCTATACATATAATCAAATATTGAAATTGCAATTTATAATACTTTGTCAACAGAAAGCTTAAACTTAAGTTCAAATGGACAATTAATATACAGGGTGTCTCAGAAAATGTGACCGAAACACAGTGGGGACATAGATTGGATCAAGGGGAACGAAACAGTTTTGTACCATTTTGCAGTTGACGCAATATTTAACGAGATATTAACGTTTAAAAATAGGCGAATACGAGTGTCCGACCAGCCTACTGATCATGTACTGCTGCCGGCAGGACGGCCTACCCGGTAGAACACTCGTATTCGCCTATCTTTAAACGTTAATATTTCGTTAAATATTGCGTCAACTGCAAAAAAACACACACACACACACACACACACACCATTCCTTATCTATTAATACTTCAAAATATTGATTATAATTAATAATGTTTATATGCGATTTAATATGATTAATTCTGTTTTGTATATCAGAATTAATTAACAAGAATCTTATTTTAGACCGTACAGAGAACACAATCAATAAACTAGAAGCCTAAACCGGTCTGTGTTGGATTTTTAATGCTTTTTAATAATTTCTGTGTGAATTAATATACTAAATATGTAATTATTCAAATATGTAGTTATGGCGCGCCGAAAAGAATTTTCGAATTTATAAACGCAATCAAACTACTATAGTAATATCACAAATTAAATTGATAAGCAATTTAATAATTTGATGCTCAATCTGGCATCCTATTAGAAAGATGCTAATATATTGAAAACTTGTAAATAAATTTATTGCGAAAAATATTACCTCGGCAGGGAGTAGAACCCGGATCTCTCGTATTCTTAGCCTTTAGACTACCGAGGCTTTAGTAATACTCTTCGCAATAATCGGTATATGTACGGAAACAACATTTTTCTCAAGCGACGTAATATAAACAAATAAGAATCTTATTGTAGACCGTATATGTGAGAACACAATTGCTAAATTAGAAGTCTATACTGGTTGAAGCTGGATTTTTAATGCTTTTAAATAATTTCTATGTGAAATGAGTCTAGGTTCGACTCCCGACCGAGGTAATATTTTTCGCAAATTTGTTTTTCAGTATATTAACATCTTTCTAATAGAATGCCAGATTGAGCATCAAATTATTAAATTGCTTATTAATTTAATTTGTGATATTACTATAGTAGTTTGATTGCGTTTATAAGTTCGAAAAATCATTTTGGCATGTAGTTTGAATAATTACATATTGAGTATATTAATTCACATAGAAACGATTTAAAAGCATTAAAGATCCAGCTTCGACTGGTATAAGCTTCTCGAATTCATTAAAATATAATTAATTCTGATACAATACAGATGTTTCTTTTTATTACTAATAAAATTTAAAAAGAACATAAGTGATTATTTTTTTATATTAACGTTAACTGCAAAATTTTGATAAACATATATCATTTCAGGTATGGAAGAAAAGTTACGCTTTCTATTCGATATGTAATGTTAGCGTCATTAGCTGTCAGTACGATAGTTATTATTTTTACTGGTTGCACTTTTCTTAGCGTAAGTATAATTACTTATTTCAGTTAAAAAATAAATATTAACAGTATACTTACTAAATTCTTCAGTTTTTGTTGTAAGAATTATGTAAAACCCTGTTACAATACTTTTATTTTCTTATCATTTATGCAAGTTTATCTATAAAAGTGTTTTGTAATTCGCATATATTAATTTAAAGAACATTTCAGCATCGTTCGACAAAGCATTCTATATAGAAAACATCCCGTGTAGAAAATTATTAGGGATGTCATAAGTAAGGCTTCCTTATTTATATCTGTTAAGGCCCTCATCGGGATTTGATAGGGATGCATCAACTTTATAAATGTTTATTTATTAGGACTAACTTATAAGGGTCTGGAAAGGATTTATTAGAAATGCCAAGCGGTAGAGTATATGTGCTATACATATATGACATGTTTCTCAACTTATAGACAGTTGTTAACTTTCAGTTAAGTTAAATATCTCGCAGGGTACAGCGATCTTTTTTTCTATCAGATTCTTTCATTTTGTGTAAAAACGCGTCTACTGAACATAATTTTGATTATTGGCGTTGAGGATATTAAATTAAATAATTATCTAACTAATTTTGCTTACAATCAGTTGCTATTAGAAATGTTGATGTAGATCGATAGAGTAGCACCATCTATGGTGATCTGTTTGTACTTTTTCCTGCACCTTAATATATGTTCTATGGACTTTGTATTCTTACACGTATGTTCGAGTTGGACTGAAGAAACTTGTACAATAAAGAGTGTATTGATACGAATAATACGCGTTGTGTTGATATTCTCACAATAATACATGTTACAGTTGTATTATTTTCGTATAAGAGGAACTAATATATAGTATTCAAGAGCGATTAAAATATAATTTTTGATAGCAAGTATAATAGTAACTGACTGGATGTTCAGTTAAAATGCACAAATTTCTATCAGGATTATATTGACAGGTATATCACAACTACCCGAGTAGAAATTTGATCGGGTACACCCGATGTAAGGTCAGGTCATGATCAGGAAGTGGTAGGGTATGTCCTAGTCGGGAATTCTCCACTTAGGCCTGATCTGGGAACGGTAGGGTACATCCTAGTACGGCTTTACCGATTTGCGTCCGATACGGTGCAAATCAGGGCACCTTTCTCAATATTTTTTTAAGGTAATTCTTACATGGACCTGATTTCTTTGCGTTTATATTACCCTCTAGTCTGGTTAAACCGTCAAGAGTTATAAGTGAGGGACACCGACTGCCCCGACGAAAATTAAACGCAAAAGAAAGCGCATAGAAAGAGCAAATAAATATTTTTATTTTTTTACGCTTTAAAAAAGAAAAGTTATATATTCATAGATATAATATAATAAATAATAATATATACATTATACAGGATGTCAAGAAATTACCAGTAAATGTTTCGTACGTCGGTAAAACAGATTATACTGAGTCGAAAAGTCCTATACCATTTTGCGGTATCAGCAATAGTTAACGAGATATTAATTACTAAAAATTACAAAATAAAAGTTTTGAATAATTTTTTACTCAAATACTATGAACTTTACAGAAAAACTACAAGAGACAAAAATCATTTATTTTCTTCTCATAAAGTTTTTAGAATTTTTTCAGAATTTTTTCAGAATTTTTTAATACCATATTTTCTCATGTTGCTAAAAATAAGAAAATGCAGTACTAAAAAGTTGATAAAAAATTCTGAAAAAATTCTCAGAACTTTATGAGAAGAAAATAAATGATTTTTGTCTGTTGCGATTTTTCTATAAAGTTGATAGTATTTGAGTAAAAAATTATTCAATATCAATATTTTGCAATTTTTAGTAATTAATATCTCAACAATATCTTTATTTTAGACCGTATATGTGAGAAACACAATCAATACTAGAAATTTAAAATGCCTATTACGATCGAAGCTGGATCTTCGTTGCTTAAATAATTCAATCTTGAATTACTAATATATACTATATATGTACTTGCATATATATCATATTGTAGTCTTTTTCAAACTGCGAATTATTTTTCTGGACTAAATAAACGCAATTAAAACTACTCTAGCAATCGCGAATTAAATTGACAAGCAATTTAATAATTTGATGCTACCATCAAGCATCATATATTATAATATGTTAAAACTGTTAATAAATTTATTGCGATAAATATTACCTCGGCCGGGACTTGAACCCGGATCTCTTGTATTCTGTAAGAGCGTCCTAAGCCATTAGACCACCGAGGTCTTAGTAATATTCTTCGCAATAATCGGTACACTAATGAAACAACGTCTTTCTTTCAGGCGACGTAATCTAAACAATATCTTTATTTTAAACCGTATATGTGAGGAACACAATCAATACTAGAAATTTAATTAATATCTCATTAACTATTGCTGACACCGCAAAATGGTACAGGACTTTTCGACTCAGTATAGTCTGTTTTACCTACGCACGAAACATTTGCCGGTAATTTCCAGACACCCTGTATATAAGTTATATATTCTTTCAGATTAATAAAATAATCAATTCATAATATTTCTTGGCATTTAAAATTTAAACACAGTCAAAACTCCTAAAACCTAACCAATAATTTAGAAACATCGCCCAAGTGCTTCCGCGTATCATTTTATCCTTGTTGTTCACCGAATGTTAAATAAGGATAAAACGATATACGGAGACACTAGGGTGATGTTTCCGAACGCAGATCTATAACCTAATCTAACCCTAGCATCAATAACCTACTAATACTAGTACCTTACCAGAACTGCGTTAAAATAGTATAAGGCTCAAAAAGGGGCTACTTATAAGGTCTTGATAAGGTTTGCCTGATCAGGCGCAAGACGATACGGACGTTACATTAGCCCTCAGGGCCTGGTAGGATTTCCTCATCATTACCTGATCAGGCATCAGGGTATCCTTGTTTGGACCCTATCAGGACTCGTCTACAATTTCTACTCGGGTATACATTCATTAACATTCAGTGTTTGTAGATCATCGAAGTAGCAGTTTCCATACGATTACAGAGGTCAAGCAACGCGAATGGTGGTGCGCATACGGATAGGTGATTGTTTCAAAATACCATAAAATTAATTCTCATAATATTTCCTCATAAGGCCCTGATAATTTTTGCTTACAGGGCCCTGATAAGTTTTCCTTACAGACCTCCGATAGTTTTTCCTTATAGGGCCCTGATAATTTGTCCTTATAGAGCCCTGATAATTTATCCTTATTTTTTAGGGTCTCGATAATTTTTCCCTTTAGGATCTCGATAATTTTTCCCTTTAGGGTCTCAATAATTTTTCCTTATAGGGTTCTGATAAACAATTTGTTACATGCCATATAGGGCTCAAGTTATCTAATCTAATAGGATCCGATTAATTTTAGGGCATATGCTAATCAGGTCCTTTTTTTAACCCTAACAATTTTCTACACGAGATGTCATGTATCTATTATCATCTATTACAATCTTTTTGTTAATAGCGACAACCAATGTCAGTAAAATCAACATTTTTAATTTTCTTCATTTCGTCTCTTGCAAAAGTATATTTATGTGCATGGCCAGCCGATCATTTGTTAAATGCAGTAAGTTACGTTTATATGTATAGAAAAAACAGCTTGATACATTTAGAAATTAATAAACTAAGAGTATTCTCTCTCTCTCTCTCTAGAGCACTGATATTGCACATGCTGTATATGAATCGATATGGTATGAAGGGAAAGTTGATTTCCAAAAAAATTTTTTGCACGCTCTATTGCGTGCGCAACAACCTATAGCTGTAAACGTACCTTGCATGCTACCGACTGTTTCATTACATTATTATGCCTCAGTGAGTCATCGATTTTATCTCATAGTTTTTTGTTAATTATAAAAATACTTTATATTATTTAATAGATGTACATGTTTGAGATACTGTCATTTTTTTACTTTTATTTGGAAATATAAATAAAATATTATTTATAAATATTTATATATGTTTTTGTTAGTGTTCCTCGCAAGTAAAATCTGTTTTTTGTAACAAATACATATATAAATTAATTTTTTTATATGTCGTTTATTATTATTTATATACAAATAACAAAATTGATATAATTATTTTTATTAAACAACGTAATTGTTTAAATTATTTAAATTAAGAAGATTATATTTGCAATATTTTAGTATGTTTCAACTGCCTTCTCTTATCTGGCTACTTTTCGAATTATACTTGAAGAAAGCGGTGAGGATTAACGAATTAGCGCTAATACAGTAAGACTACATTTGTTCAAATTGTACAAATATTTTGTTTGTATAATAATTATATATTTATTAAATTTAAAGAGCGTATTTCTGAATAAAAATAAAATTGCGTTCATTGACTTCGTTTCTAAATCAAAATCATAGATTGACGTGATCATCTTTGCACAAAAAATCATCATATATAAGCTGTGTTTCATTTGAAAGTTGAAATTCCAGTCCTAATGAGTATAAAATAATTTATTTTGAATAATTAGTTTGTAAGATATATTTTCTGTTACATTTAAACATAATATTGACTTTTCTTTAAAAATCAATCATTGTTTTTTAAGTAAAAACAATCATATGTGCAAATTACGGTATTTTGATTCAAAAAATAGTGATTCAAAATAAATTACGATGAATACTTATACAGAAAAGCAGCGTCACCTCCAATGACCATGATCTTGACATATGTTGACCCTGAGTGATTTCCAACAGATTTTAGGTGGCGGTCGCTGTTCGTTAAAAAGTTATTAACAAAAAAAGTTTGAAAAATGATGTCTCTCTTCTACTAAAGAAAACATAAATTTTTTGCTTTAAAATATATTTTACGACCTTCCACGTGAAGCGAAGGCCATCTAACACTACGATATGGTGAAAGTCGCTTCGCGTGGAAAGTCATGTGCTCGGACGCACCTCTACGTGCGCCTGCCCAGATAGAAAAATACTAGCGTATGCTAGCAGTATGCCAGCAAACTTGATCATGACGTTACAGCAGATATCAAGCTGCTGCTTCCTCATTAAGCTTAGTTTCTATCAGCATAATCTGCATAGAATGACTGTAGAAATGCAATAGAAATTGAGCATTCTTTGCTATAAGTATCGTGACATACGTAGCAAATATTGAGCAAAGTTTGCCATTTCAAATACTAAAAGCAAAAAGACAGCAGAAATTAAGCATGATTTGACGTCACATTGTGACAGCGAAATCGTGACGAGACTACGGCACGAGTTACTATATCAAATACTGACAGCAAAACTACAGCAAAAATCTAGAGTCCCTATTAGGGACTCTACAAAAATCGAGCACGGCCTGCCGTCATGACGTGATTGCAAAAACGCGGCAGATATAGAACGTGATTTTCCTTATCAGTTGATGAAAGCAAAAACGCAACAGAAATCGTATATAATCTGTCGTCACATGTACTGACAGCAAAACTACAGCAAAAATCGAGCACAGCCTGCCGTCACGGCGCACGACGTGACTGCAGAAAACACGCATAATAAATATAATTTATATTATACATTTAACTTTTATTAACTAAATGCATTTTTATTAAAGAAGTACATTTAATCAGAATAAGATTTTACTAAATAGAAATTGTATTTTTAATTTTTTTGTATCTTAAATAGTGTTAATAAATGAATTATTTTCCGTATTGAGAGAACTGTTGCTCGATTTAAAAAAAATCAATTTAATATTCAGAATTCTCTATAGGAATTGTGTCAGAAATTAAATCGATAAGAAAATATTACACATTTTTATTTTCACTAGCCGCGTTATGTAGTCTTTATATTTGCCCGTGACAGAAATTTAAATACGAGATAAATATTGATAGATACGTCGTCTATCGTTAAACGGGAAAACTATGTATAAAATGTGACGACAGATTATGCGCGATTTCTGCTGCGTTTTTATCTTCAACATCTGATAAAGCAAATCGCAATATATATATATGCTGTGTTTTGGACAGTCACATCGTGACGGCACACTGTGCTCGATTTTTGCTGTGATTTTGCTGTCAATATTTGATATAATAAGTCGTGCGGTATTCCTGCTGCATTACCGTTCTCACGATGTGAGAGCAAATTTGTCAGATTTCTAACTACATTTTGCTAATTTAATATGACATCATGTCAAATCTAGCTTTTTGGTTTATTTTTTGTTTATATATTGTGCCAACATATAATGTATGAATTTTGTTTTATTTATGCCGAATATATTTTGCTCAATTTTTCTAGCATTTTTTAAAGCATGTTATGATGCAGTGTCTTTAGAATTTTTGCTGTATTTTTGTTAACGCTAGTTGAAATGACAGATAGTGCCCGACTGTTGCCCGATTTTTGCTAACATAATATATAGCATACATTTACAGTGCGTGCTTCCGACACGTCTGGCTATCTGGGTGTGTAACCGATAAACTTATGTACGCTAGTAAGACATGTAAGATTATATGTATAAGACCAGTCCTAAAGGCTTACACTCTGTAATTTTTGTTCAATAAAAAAAAGTGTGCCACGAAGCAAAGGGAGAGGTGGGATGGATGGAAGTTGCTTTGCGTGGAAAGTCGTACACCTCGAAGCAGGGAAGTGGGTGGTGAGGTAGAAGTTGCTTCGCGTGGAAAGTCATAAAATATATTTTAAAGCAAAATTTTGTTTCGTATAGTAAAAAAGAGATATCACTTTTCAACTTTTTTTGTTAATAACTTTTTAAGGAATAGCGGCCGCTACCTAAAACCTATTGACGGTCACTCATGGTACATATTGACAACATATGTCAAGGTCAAGGTCATTGGAAGTGGCACCCTTTTTCTATATGTACATTTATCCTATATTTTACTTTTTAGCATTAAAAAATAGATAAACTTTTTTATTTTATGACATCTTACAATTAGGTTTAAGTGTTTGTAATAAATAATAATATGATTTAAATGAGAAATATGAATAATATTAATAATATTGCGAAATTATATAAAATCTCAGTGCGATAAATAGATAGATAGTATAGTTTATTGGCCAACCTTTCAGTATACAGTCATTTTACATTTCAATGAGCATTGTAGATGGCGCTTAGGCGTGGTTACATGAATAAAAGGTTTACATATTAATAAGTAAATTTGAAACTCAGTACAAAATTCGTTCTTATAGTGTATAGATTTATTTACATTCTGAATAAAAATAAAAATATATAAAAACTAAACTCTATAATCTAAAGGTTTGACGGAGCGTCACAGATCAATACTTACTTAATTGCTAGTTAAGACTAACCGTAAATATTGCACAACGAACGCGCGATTAAATATCTAATTTACAGTCGAAAATATAATCTGCAGTTATTATTTGGATTTCCTTAGTTTTTCGTCTTTTGAGTATTTCCTTAATATCTATCGGGGTTCTTATGTTTAATTTAAAAAATTTTTTTACCATGGTTTTTCTCCCCTCACAAAATTTGGGGCATTTCCATAAGACATGTTCGGTGTCCTCAGGGCCCTCTTTGCATGAACAGCAGTCACTATTTACTATATTAAACCTGGAAAGACTACTTTTGAGAGAGTTGTGACCACAACGCAAGTGATTAATAGAAACTATAGCTTTTCTAATCAAGTCATGTTTAAAGAACCATGGTTTTGGGTTAAAGTTTGAATAGTGACTGAAGTAAAAAATGCCTTTATCCTGATCATAGGCTTTGTATTCTAAGAAAGAATTGTTATTCTTTTTACATTTAGATTTAAATATACTAAATAAATCTAAGAACGGTGTAAGCCCTGTTCCAGAAGGGGCTCCGAGTGGGCAGCTCTTTTAGCTAGACGATCATTTTCATTTCCATGGATATTAAAATGCGAAGGAATCCACAATAGTTCAATTTTTTTGTTATGTTCTGTATTATAAAATAATAAATGTTTAATTTGATGTATTAAATAAAATTAACGCTTTAAATCCTTATTGTTAGATAGAGCACTGAGAACACTCTTGGAATCGGAGAAAATACTAAAATTATTTAGGTTCTAAATACTAATCAATTTAAGTACATTTAAGATAGCCATGGCTTCAGCTGAAAAGAATGAAAATTGGTTATAAAGTTAAAAACTCGCGGTGAAAAAGTCCACAGTACTCCAGCTAACCATACCCACGTAAGGGTTATCATTTAATACTAATCTGAAGTCATCAGTGAAAATGACTGTACTATTGATTTTATTGGACTTCCGTTTTCGGTGTATAGAGAGTGGGGTGGGTGAATTCGTGAGTTGGCAGAGCAGGGAGTGAGAGTGGAGAGAAGGAGAGGTGTGAGAGAGTGATTGTGGGCGGTGGTGAGAGAGGGAGTGGAGGGAAGGTAGAGGGAGTGGAGGTGAGATGGAGGAAAAGGGCTGTGGCGAGAAAGGAAGGAGAGAAAGAAGGGATTGAGGTTAGGGGACGGAGCTAGTGTAGAGTGTGAGGAGCGCGGGGAGGATGGTGAGGAAACGATAAGGTGGGGGGAAATGAGTTCGGTTTGGAGGAATAATAGGTAAAGGCGAAAAGGAAGGTCTGTTCGGAAGAGATTGCGAGGTGGTGTGGAAGGAAGGCAGTGAGTGAGAGAGAGAGAGTGAGAGATAGTAAAAGTGAGAGGGAGAGAAGGTGTGAGTGAGGGGGAGAGAGAAAGAGGAAGATAGATGACTGATAGGATTAATAAGCTGGAGAAGGATAGGGGGGGAAGCACGGGGGAGCTAGCGAAATTCCTGAAAAGGAAGAGGAAAGAGGAGAGGGGAGAGTCGGGAGGGGGGAAGGTAGAAGAGACTTTTAGAAGCAGCAAAAAGACACTAAGATCACTGTCAGAATGGGGGAGGAGGGAGGGATGAAGGAGCTATTAAGGGAAATAAGGGATGAGATGAGAAAAGGGTTGATGAGAGTAAGAAAAGAGTTAAGGGAGGTAGTAGAGGGTCAGAAAGAGATGATGAGGAAGGAAGTAGAAAGGATAAAAGGGGAGATGAAGGAGAGGGAAGAAAGATGGGAGAGGGAAAAGGGGGAAATGATAGAGAGGTTAAAGGCGCTGGAAGGGGAATTGGAAAAAATGAGAATAAGGGTAAGTGAGAGGAGAGGGGGGAAGTGGAAAAGGGAGATAATGAGGAGATAGGGAAGGGAGAAGGGAGGGAAGAATGGATGGAAAAAATAAGAAGATTAGAGAGAAGGAATGAATGGAGGGAAAGAGAGGAAAGGAAAAAGAATATTGTAATAAAAGAGGTAACGGTGGGTAGGGG